GGCTGCTTTTAATTGTACAGTAAAAAATACATGCCTGATTCAAGAAGGGGGTCTGATGGACAAAAAATATTATTTTACTAACTTATTAATTTTAAGTTAAATTGTACTTTGTTGGTATAACGTCTGAATGTTAAAATAATGTTCGGTGTTAAGTAAATAATTAAATTGTTGTTGTGTACTTGATTTTTTTCTTTGAAAAGCAAGACAAAACAGTAAAAAGCAACATTTGGGTATTTATTATTTTTTGCAATGGTGAAAAAAATTGGCAAAATACGGGGGAAAAGCATGAAAAACCGTGTTCGGTATTCGGCCCAGTGTTTCATTTTGTTCGGCTTCGGCCAATAATTTTCATTTCGGTGCATGCCTACTTGGACCTGCCTGAAAAACATAAATCACTGTTTATTTCATTTGTATATTTGATCTATTGCTTGTAACATGTTTGTTTGTTCTCATTGTATTACTGACAGTTACTTGTCTTTAATAATGTTTAACTCTATATTAGTTAGGTTGGAGGTTTTGAGATGGTATTCAAAATTTAAATATATTTAAAGCAAAAGTTTGGTGTTCTTATTAATCAGAACTACATGGTTGCATGAGTCAAAAAGAAAGGAAGCTGTATCTTTATTTAAGTTAGTTAGTCACATAAAAGTGACTAAAAGTGTTAAATACGGCATCTTTAAAAACTTAAAAAGTGCGTGTGTGTGTGTGTGTGTGTTTCAGGGTTAGCGTGAAGATGGTGGAGTATAAATTGATGTAGCCCAAAAACTGGAAAAAAAATGGTTCAGCTTCCCGAACTTGAACATAATCCCCAATCCACACGACTAGACGTCTCTCTGTCTACACACACAGTCGTCTCTCTCTCAACCACAGGGACTAACTTTCCTAACCAATAATAATTGGCCTTAACGACAAGCTAAACAAAACCATGTACCATATTTTAATGCAGAGTCTCTGCATGTTTGAATGAAATAAAGATATTTTAAGACTTACAAAGACTATTACACTTTTTTTTTTTAAAGGACAATTTTAGATTTAAAAAAAGGTTTAATTAGAGGTTTTAACATCATAATAATAAAAAACTGAGTTTGAAATGGACAGTACAAAAGAACCAGCTCATTAGAGTCACTGTTTTGCGAACTGAAAACAAAAGTGATTGCTCTGTCTTGTTTGACAATGCAAGAGAAAGACTTGTTGGCATTTAACTTACTCCATTCAATTCAGACTGCTGTAGATTCAGCACACTCACATTCCTCCACACTCCTCACAGGATTTAATCTAAACAACAGTCTATGTCGGCTGGTCGGCACATTATATAGAAAAGCCCAGCATGAATCTTCATGGAAGCAATTGAACAGAAACCTCTCAATGCAGTTCAACTACTGACTCTGTGTCTGCTGGGCCTAAAAAAAAACCTAAATCAATATTTATATCTTGATTTAACATCCTTACAAGAAGATCAAATTTACTTGAGAAGCTTCTAAGACATGTTTTTTAGAGAATCCACCTTGAAGTTTATATTTTTTCAAGCATAAATTTAAGCCTAAAAATCTATTTTCCAATGAATAAGAAAAAAAAAGATATTCTCTGTAAACAAGTCTTATTATTATCTTATCCAGTTTTGCTTGTCAAGTTAATGTATTTTGGGTAACACTTTATTTTAAGGTGTCCTGGTTACGTATGTTACATGTACTTACTATTACAATAACAATTAATTATGCATAATTACATGCAAGTAACCTTAAGCCAAACCCTCTAGTAAGTACATGTAGTTAATTAATATTACTCATTACTTAATATGTACTTATACATTAAGTACGTAATAAGCATTTAATGTATAATTACACTGTAACAAGGACACCTTAAAATAAAGTGTAACCATATTTTGTTTTAGGAAAAAAATTTTATTGGAAAAGCAAGACAAAATACTGGTTATAAAAATGACTTTTAGCATGTGAACTTACACCCACCATGACTGAACCTGTGAACACACTGAAAATCCATCTAGAAAAATAACAAGAGAGCGAGACAGAGAAAGTGCAATGACTGCGTGCTAATTAACTGTTGAAAATATTTGAGTATTTGTGAGCGTGTGATGAACGGCAGGCCTGCACTGACCTCACACCGCTCTGTGGTTACACTTGGCCTCTTTTTCTCCTTTCTCTTTCTTTCTGTGCCTCTTTCATCTCTCCTGTTGCCATGGACGACGCCAGCGAGTCAAACAATGTTCCTTTTCTTTGCTGAAACCCGAGCGCTCTGGTCTCTGAAAGTGAGAGAGAATCTGTGCTGCGCTGTTCACACCTGCCTCAGTTACACAACAACATTCAAACAGCTTCCTGTCTGACTTCTGACTTCCTCTCCCATCCTCATCCTGAGAGCAAGTGCATTATGGGAATTAAATTCTCACGGTTTACTCAACCTAATATTGTTCCAAAACTTTGACGTCCCACAGAAGAAGTTTCACAGGTTTTATGAAAGTATGATAAAAGTAGTCCACATATGACTTGTGTTCTAAATCCAATACACCTCATGCGATAGATTTGTGTGAGAAACAAACGAAAATTTAATGTTATTATTTACTGATAATCTTCCTCTCCAATGAGCTGCTAACCATTGCAATCGGATCTGAACTCAAAAAATAATCAGGCCGTACGTACAACACCACCATAAACACCAAATATTTCATCTTAATGCTGTTTCGCTGCTCTTCATTACACACTGATGACAAAAAGCTTTAAACGTACATTTTTAAACATGGTCTGCTACTGTGCTCAACGTCAAAATGATTGAGCTGCACAATCAAATAAAAGAAGGTGGGATTTACTGTTCACTGACGCAGAGCATGAACTTAAAGGGTTAGTTCACCCAAAAATGAAAATTAGGCTGTGTTTTACTCACCCCCGAGGCATCCAAGGTGTATATGACTTTCTTCTTTCAGACGAATCCAGTCGGAGTTATATTAAAAATTGTCCTGGCTATTCCAAACTCTATCATTGCAGTCAGCGGGTGTTGCAGTGCTTCAGTCCAAAAGAAGTGAAATAAAAAGCGCCCATCCATAAAAAAAAATGTCTCACACAGCTCCGGGGGGTGAACAAAGGCCTCCTGTAGCGAATCGATGCGTTTTTGTAAGAAAAATAACCATATTTAAAACGTAATAATCAATTTAATATAGCTTGCGCTCACTGTTGTAAACAGAAGCAGCTCCGGGCGGATGACTTAAGACGTCGGCGTTGCGCATGCGCCGCTCAGAAGTGACGAACGCAGAAGCCTCGGAGGTGAGTAATACACAGCCTAATTTTCATTTTTGGGTGAACTAACCCTTTAATCACAATGCTTCAGTTTTAAGAGTGAAAGAGGGCAATGTAAGAAGTAGCTAAACATTTAATATTTGACAAGTGCATTACAATAGAAATGTTAAACGATCGGCAGTAATATCCAGTGATGCAAACTACTCTCAAATCTTACCGTTTTGAATTCAAAATATATGTGACCTGTGCTGACAAAATAAGTGTGAATGCGCACGGGCTAATTTTGAGCTACAGACAACAACAAAAAAAGTGAAAAATTACGATTTTGATCGAATTTCAGGTTTTCACAAAAATGAGATCATTATGCCCTCGTCTAGTAATCCCAAAACTCCAAATAGGAATTAAACATCTAAAATGATCTTTTTTGTACGTTTTCTGAGAGGAGTACCTTTTTCTCTGCTGGCTTCACGCACTGCCGCTGACTCGCATACGAATCATGCACATAAAGGCATGAGATCCTGATAAATATACACATACTGTATACACAGAATTACAGTATTTAAGAAAATGTGCAGAAGCATGTATAAGATTTGAGGACTATGGAAGTTGATTTTCAGTGATTAACAAATGTGGACGAATAGGGCCCTATGAAATAAGTTTTTATTTATTTATTTTTTTTTTTCATTTATATATTTTTTTTCATTTATATTTTTCTAGACTCTGATTTAATGGTTAAATGTATTTTATCAATCATTATTAAGCATGTCGTATTAATTGAAATCCATCTGCGTTTTCAGAATCACAGAAATCATAGGGCCCTAAACACTTTCCTCACACAAAGTGACTACAGAAGACTATAGGGATCATCATAAAAATTGCATAAAAGTGCTTTTTGATGCATTACTTGATACCTGTCTGGAGTTTTAGAACCCTCTTTTTTTTTTGGAACACCACACCAGTCTTTCCCTGTTATGTCTCCATTTCTCTCTTCAAAGTCAATAATTACTGTTGTAGCGTCTGCGTAGAATCATGCATGATCTTTGGGGTTTTATGGCTTAAGAGACCCTTTTAGCCTTTTGACATTTGCATATAAATTACAGTTCTGGTCAGAGACTTTACGTTTGTATGGGGGTCTAAATTTTCAACTTCTTTAATCTAAAAAAACATTTCTTACACATACAAGCTGTGTGAAGTAAAGCTAACTCAACTCCTGCTCAGGACATACTAACACGCTTGCGTGAGAGGAGGGAACACACACATACTGTATGTATATACTGTATATTAGCCAACAAACCCTACAGGCTGCACACATACGTGAATACAAACAGTAAGAGTCAAATTAACACACATGACCACAAAGAAGAAAAAATGCATAGTATAAAAAAAAATAAAAAATTCTAATTGAATGGTGTTTATTATTGAAACAGTGAGCCAACCATAGAACAATCTAAATAAACACTTAATTGGAATTTGAAAATGATTTTTTTTTAAATGGCATGCATGAGCAAATCAATTATAATAAATTGTGCAATAAATTCTATCGAATTAATTATTCCATAAAAATAAGGATTGTCCATTTTGTTTTCATTGTGACATTAATTTTTGGACACAAAAGCGTACACCACTCAAGGAGAGTGTCAATTAGCAGTACAGTAATTAACATGACTAAACCGCAGCAGTGCACTTCTACACCTTCACCTCAACACCACCGCACACACTCCTGTGAATTTACAACACACAATTCTGATTCAATTCCACCCGTCATAACAGAGCTGATTTAGCAATTAGTGACAACAGGCAATTCATATATGCTACATTCTTTCTGACCAATTTAAACACCCAGTTTGCTTCTGTTTAACATTTGACTGATTGTCAGCACGCGTCATGAATGTGACAAAGAAAAGCAGCACTGAACCAGACCCATGCATCACTTTATAGCCATTCATTCATTCATTCATTCATTCATTCAGAAAGCACATTTAAAAGCAACCCAAGGTTGACCAAATCCACGTAATGAATAAAGTTTCACCTTTTTTTCTTTTCTTTTCTTTTCTTTTCGCTTATTATTAATTTGCTGTGGGCTATACACTCCACCTGGTCAGTATTTTTTAACTCGCTGTAGTCCCAGAAAGTATTTGAATGCATTAAAGTCACTGTATTTAACAAAATATCAAAAGGTTTATTTGGGGGAAAAAAATTCAAATGTTTCTCAAGATGCTAAATAATAATGGTCAAAATTAAGGCAAATTTGGGACACTTTGTGTTTGTAAAATGTTAGTTGATCATGCTGATAGTTAACGTGATGATGAACTACACCCGTGGTTCCTGTGCTAGAACACCTGTGTGAACTTGGAGAACTGATAAAAAAATCACCAAAACAACAGCTGATTCAAAGGTAGAGCAAACATTATGAAGAAACGTGAAGATACTGAAGAAAAAAGACCCTGCAGCATTTGAGGGCAGATGACACACTCATATTATGTATCTAGAGCATAGACTGTACATTCAGTGAGACTGAAGAGTTTAAATACGTCATGGCCACTGTATTATTGTGAAGAGATACAGTTCCTCAAAGAAACAACATGAGAATAGCACATCAATTTCAGATGAATGTGTCAGAAAGATCTTACACACACTGGAGACCAAATCAACCCTGCAGTATAAAATAAAAAATAGCTAATATTTCTAGTGCCCTATAAAATCGGTTTTATTTTAACCCCAAATTCCTTGTTTAACAATTTAACAATGTATTAAAATAAAAAAAATACAAAAATATTTTTAAAAAATAAAATAAAATTGTCCTGTGAAATGCATTTAATTTATTTATTTTTTTATTTTTTCAAAAAATATATTTTGTCTGTTTTAATTCTTCTGTATTCTGTGTTTTATGATTTAACGGTATATTTTCAATAAATTGACATTTATTTTAAAATTTTAAAATTTATTTATTTTTTGTGCAAGAAAAAGTGCCACACAATAGAGGTTTACTGTTCAAATGAAAACACAGACAAAAAAAATGACATTGCAGTATAATATTCACAGACATTAGTCCATATAGTGATTCCTTCATTTATTCATCCCAGTTTTACAAATTCTGTTACATTTTCTGTATAACATGGAATTCCATTTAGTGGTCGACCGATACATCGCCAAGGCAGATATATCGGCCGATATTTGGCATTTTTTTTATATCGCCATCGGTTTTAATCGATTATAATTCCTTCAGGAAGCGAATCATCTGTTGCCCGTCGGAAAGAGATTCTTGTGTTCTAAGCCATCTATTTATATAGAGCAGTTTACTCCTCTAAGGCGGACACAATGAGTTTTCCGGTATGTATGGATGCATGTTACACGGACTCACGAGGAAACAGGTATCTTTATCTATTGTTGTATCCGTGATATCTGTGTTTGTGAGTAATTTGCGCTCTGTGCTCGCTCTCTTTCTGAGGAAGGAGAGATGTTCGTTCAACCCCCGCTGTTCCAGTTCTGTGGTTGCCGAGGCGCCGTCTCTACTTCTGCGCTGCACTAATGCAGGCACGTGCATTTGAATAGATGCTTACGCTTCCAGCTCTTATTTGTATACTGCTTTTAGGCGCAAACTCTAGGAGTCCTGCAGCGGCTGTTTGTCATGCATTATGGTCTTGGTGCTTCGTGCTACCAAGCATTAGTCTGCCCGGCTGTTAATTTTTCTTTCAGCTCCGCTGATGCTTTGAGCTGGAACAAATCAGTGGGCGAGCTCAC